TACCTATGTTATTTGCTTATTATTTCTTGCCTATATCTTGTAATATGAGAAACTACTTTGGCAATAACAATACAAAATAAACTAACCATTGTTACTCTCCTAAAATCTTGTTTTGAGATTTTGTACCACTGTTTTTATTTATTTTTTCTTTCTTTAAAATAAAAATAACTTTCAATAAATAAATAAATAAAATTATGGCAAAAAAATAGAAACTAAGAAACATAAAAAATAAAATAAAACACATGGAAATTATAGAGAGTCAGAACTGTCATCTAGCAGATTTCCTAAGCATAATTTAATGTATTATATATCTGATATGAGGAAATGTGAACAAATGTTAAATATTCTGTAGAATTAATTCATATATCAAAGAAGTAATATTCATATTCTGGGCTACTGTGAAAAATAAATAATCAGTGTTGTGAGTGTTCATTAAAAAAAAAGTAATGTCCATTTTTTTTAAAAAAAGAATAAATGTCAGGATTACAATGTGTAATTGTATGCTCTGTCATATTTGCTGACCTATATTCCCATTCTGGGAAAATAAGAGCAGAAAATAAGATCCACTACCACTGTGATCCCTGTAATAAAAATATTTATTTCCTAAAAAAAAAAAAGATAAGCTTGTCTTCTGGATAGTTAAGAACCTAAGTTTGCACACCAAAATTAGAGAAAAAGGAAGGCTCACAGGAAAGCCAACATTTTGGACCTAGCCTTCTAAGGTCAATTAAGACTCAGGACATATGTGAACTTGCACTGTAACGTCATGTAACTCGGTACTGTCCCAAATTTTCTGATCAAGGAGATTATGAGGCCAAAGAGGAAAGTGATCGATGATGTAGAGTGTGCCTAACAAGAGTCACATGGAGAGAACACATTCTCTCAAGCTTTCACAGAGAGCACACAGGCCAAGCAATGGCCGTGACTCATCCACATGGCTGACACTGACAAAAGGTTCTACAATCTGAGGTACAGGATCTCAAGATAAATCCTGCGGGGATTTCACTGACCTTATCAGACCCAAAAGCTACAACTCTTGTTGCATGGGTCCTGCTTTACCTTCATCTTAACCATCCAGCAGAAAAGTATAAGAATGAAATACAAGAAGTAAAGCCATGCTGTTATGTTGAGCTCTAGGCGACTCAGGTAAACAATTTCTGACATTGCCAGTCAAGCAGAAGACCCAATACTATTATGGGATACTGGACTCTTTTAGAATATTTTGCTGACATTACACACTTATAATATTCAAATAACAAAACTTTACAACGAGAAGGTGATGCAGATGAATGTCCATTTTGTATCTGTGTATTCAAATGGCTAGGATCGATATACAGTTACATTCTCTTAATGAATAGAGGGATTTGTTCTAATGGTGTTTGTTAGTGGGATATCATGTCTGTATCTTGTACAGCAATTAGCCACTAAGAAGAATGTATACAATATGTTAATTATTGAAACTGTCCTACCAGTTTGGTCTGAAACTGTCTCATTGCTATTTGTTTCTCAATAAATTTCTGGAAAAGAAAGAATGATAAACTCGAAGCCTTGATATTGAAGTGGATACCACTTGAAGATATACTCATAAATGAAAAAAACCAGACACACATCTATAAATATCATATAGTTTCCCTAGGATAAGAACTCAGAAGAAGAAATTTTTTGAATCTAGCAGTTAATTGGAAAAATTCTCACCCTAAGTATATATACCTGTACCTGTGAACTAAGCTACTGCACAGCAGATGGTAATTTGTAATAGTAGTTTCATGCTTGGAGAGCCTGTCATTTTGGTCTTCTGAATAAGGGCTGCTTGTCATGACATGTCAGTTGCTGCTGTGCTGCCTCTTGGGTAGATGGTTGTTCAAAAAGTAGGGAGTGGTGAATGAAAGCAAGCGACAGGAAAAGGAATAATGTGGGACTGTCCTCCTTCAAGGTTGGATATGGTGAGATTTAAACATAAGAAATATATAATTCTTTATGCCTAGTTTAAAATTTATTCTAATTTTTAAATGTTTTCTATTATATTCTGTAGGGAGTTAAAGTTCAACATATCAATACTTGATGAAAAATACCTGTTCCATATTATGTCTAAGATGTTTGATATGCAGACAGATAGTGAGGTTAAGCTTAACAGCCTAAGTTGTATGGTAATAACAATAAGCTTGTTTTCTGAAAGCCAAGATTTTGGCCCTAGCTTTCTAAGGTCAATTAAGACTCAGGACATATGAGAACTTGTAGTGTAATGTCATGTAACTCAGTAGTGTTCCAAATTTTCTGATCAAAGAGATTTTGGGGACAAAGAGGAAAGTGATTGATGATGTAGAGTGTGCCTAAGGAGGGTCACATGAAGAGAAAACATTCTCTCAGGCTTTCACAGACAGCACATTGGCCAAGTAATGGCCGTGACTCATCCACATGGCTGACACTGACAATGGTTCTACAATCTGAGGTACAGGATCTCAGGATAAATGCTGAGGGGATTTCACTGACCTTATCAGACCCAAAAGCTACAACTCTTGTTGCATAGGTCCTGCTTTACCTTGGTCTTAACCATCCAGAAGAAAAGTATAAAAATGAAATATAAGGAGTAAAGCCATGCTGTTAGGTTGAACTCTAGGGTACTCAGGTCAACAATTTCTGACATTGCCAGTCAAGCGGAAGACCCAATACTATTATGGGCTACTGGACTCTTTTAGAATATTTTGGTGACATTACACACCTATAATATTCAAATAACAGAACAATAAAAGGGTGTACAGATGAATGTCCATTTTGTATCTGTGTACTCAAAGTGGTTAGGATATGGGGCTGGAGAGATGGCTTGCTGGTCTGGAGCACCTACTTAGAACAAGTTCAGCGAAGCACAGGGACCGCGGTTCAATCCCCCAGCACCACATGCCAGCCAGCCCGCCCCCTGGTGGGCTGAGCTGGCCACACACACACACACCACTCTCTCTCTCTCTCTCTCTCTCTCTCTCTCTCTCTCTCTCTCTCTAATAAATAAAAAAAAATTGAAAAAAAAACAAAGTGGTTAGGATAGATATATAGTCACATTCTCTTAATGAATTGAGGGATTTGTCTTAATGGTGTTTGTAAATAGGATATCATGCCCACATCCTATACAGCAATTAACCACTACGAAGAATGTATGCAATGTGTGAATTATTGAAACTGTCCTCCCAATTTGATTTGAAACTGTCTCATTGCTAGTTGTTTTTCAATAAAATTATGGATAAAAAATTATAAAAAAAAAGAAACATGTTCTTCAGTAAAAGCTCTACTTAAACCTGAAGCGGAAAAAATAAACTAAGAGAAAGATAAGAGGTTGGTAGTGTGGAAGAATTTTCTTTATAACATAGACTGGAAGTAAAAATTCCTGTATTGTACATTGACTAAAAGTTTTTGTGTTCTTTTACCCTATTAATAGAAATTAAAGCAATCAAGACTTTATTCTAGTTCATGTTCTCAAAATCTGTTTCTTAGTGTTCACAGCACTCATTTTATTTTTTTCATTGAGGGATTAAAAATAAATACTGCTTATCAAAGGTTTTCGTACTGCTTGAGTATGATAATGAAAGTACACGTGACTAAGTATTATAGAAAACATAAAATTAACCACATCTTGATTTCAAAGAATGAAGGCTTTCACCTAATAAATCCTATCTTTTGTCTATCCAAGTTTTTGTTCATTCTTTCTCCAGTTGCAGCCAGGAAAAGTTTCAATACAGACATCTCAACCCGGGATTACTAACAGAAATTCTTGAGCTAGTGTCAATTCATATAGTCTCACTAAAATTTCTTTCAGAATCGCTTCACATAAATCTACCATTCAAAAGCATAGAGAATTTTCTTATTTTGTATCATATTACATGACATACATCTAAATCCTTCTGTATAGCTTTATAATCTGGCTTCAGTCTTCATTTAACTCTGCTCTGTAATTTTTTTCTTAAGAAGTAGGACCTCTTCACTAGTATAACTGTGAAATTCCTTTGCACTTTCTTAGAGCAAATTTGAAGAAACTAAGAAAAAAAAAGACACTGAAATCCCTAACAAACAAAAGTTTATTTATAATTGAAGTTAAGGAATATTTTTAATGCATGCCAAAAATGTCATAATCTACACTTGTAAGTTTACCGTTTGAGAACGAATATAAGAGGATACTGGAAAATGTTTGGCATACACAACTACTGAAACCAAGTTATTACAACAATTGCACACTATTAGAACAGTGTTATCAGAACACTTATATATATCTCACCTATTTTTATGTTACATCAATTCTATGGACAGCACATCTTCTAACTCCTCATTGGCTATTTGAGTAAATAGCATTCTAGGTTAACTGTTAAGACTGGGGAGTAGAAAAGAAATACAGGTGATGTCACAACATTTCAGAGACAGTGTACATATATGAATACAACATTAATACTGATTATGATACAGTGTTTGGATTTTTGTGTGAAATGATATTCAGCAATATTTAATGCATGAGAAGACACTGCTTTGGTCCATCCACTCTTTCCAGCTTTTCAAAGTGCTTCCTGGCATTGCGGATGTTGATCAGAGTTGCTGCAGAAGCTGAGGGTAGGGGTGGGGAGACACCCAACAGAATGAATATGAGTAACCAAATGAATCCCTAACTAGTAAAATCAAATAAACAAAAGAGAGCCAAATCCTTCAGTGTATGTCACAGAGAATATACAAGAATAGAAGGTCCCAAGTTACTAAGATTTAATTTTTCTGAAGAATATCTACTCACATTCAAAACATAAAATTTCCAAAATTTAGTTTAATAGATCAAAGCCCATTAACTGATGTTACATTCTAATACTAATCTAAAATAGGAAAAGCCAATGGATAAGAGAAGACTCAAACTTCTGAGAACATCTTGGAAATACTGAAGATGCTCAGTGTTCATAGTAGACATGGCAATTAACATATGGAAGCAACAAGTGTTTCCCTTCATGACAAAATAGAAATATGGGACTATGGTACAGAGGGATATGTGCAATGACATGTAAAATCATTCAGCATTAATAGCTTAGTGATTACATGAGCTAGTCTTTCAAAAATGTATACCATATGGAGCATAAAGTATGGATTTGGAATCTTTTTTCTTCAAAATTCCTGGATTTGGTAATTTGCTTTCTGAAGTTCCCATTGAGATAAACAATACCATAAAAGTTATTTTTCAGTTTCAAAATATAAATCTATTAAGTAAATGTTATTTAACATTTGTATTTAAAATAGTATTTATTTATTTATTTTTTTGCAGAACTGGGGATTGAACTCAGGCCCTTGCACTTGCCAGGGAAGTGCTTATTCCACTGAGCCATCTTCCCGGCCCCTAAAATAGTTTTTAAACTGTAATAAAATATAAGTTACATAAAATATATTATTTTCCATTTTAAGTGTACAGTTAAATGAGATTAAGTTCATTCACATCCATCCCCACTGTAAAAGAATTTTTAAGTATCTAATAAAATATTACCTCTAGGACAAGTTTTTATAAAGAACATGACTTCAAAACTATGACACCTAAGTTTAAACTTACGAATGGATGGATCTGACATCACGACCATCACATAAGTATTAGATGTGAAGATATCAATGAAAGCAGCAAAGTTAGAGTTCCTGACTTCCATACTCTGGAAAGAGGCAGCCAGTTTGCTACAGAAGAAATGAGAAAAGCAATTAAAGGAAATAAAAAATAAGAATTTCTTATCTTTTAGGTTAAATATTTTATAGTATTGTATCTCCATGTGTGACTTCATTATAACACTTTCTAAAGGCATTCTGAAAATGGATTTAATTGTTTCTTGTAATATTGGAGACTGAACCTAGGGCTGTCACACTGAGTTTCATTTGCAGGGCTTTCTCAAATTTTGTTTTGACATAAGGCCTTGTAAAGTTGCTAAGTTATCCAAGCTAGGCTTGAACTTGTGCTTCTCCTAGCTCAGCCTTCCAAAATGGTGTGATTATAATATACCACCTTACCCCAGTTTAAAATATTGTATAAATTACCAGAATGGTAAGTAAGTTAGAACTTGATATTGACTAAAAACTGAAAATATAGACCTAGATACATGTTAAAAATGCTAACAGAAATATTTTCTCTAATATTTAAGTATCCTAATGTGGAATTTTCTTATCTTTGAGATTAATGACTATATCTTTTTTTTTATGTATTTAGTACAGGGTCTACAGGATCTCAATGCCCATATCAGACTTATAGCAATCCTCCTGTTATCAGCCTCCCAAGCACTGGGATTACAGCCTCACACCACTTGCCATCTCAGCACATCCCGGGGGCAGGGCTGACATGGCAGCTGGGGGATTGAACCCCTGGCCCCTGCATCTGCCTAAGCAGGTGCTTCAGTCCGGTAAGCTATCTGACCAGCCCTAATGACTATATCTTTTAATGTTACGTTTAGATTCAAGAAATGATTCAGTTTCTCAAAACAAAGTAATTATATTTGTTTGTCATTTACTATTACTTTAAACATGTTAATAAAAACATTCAAGAAAGTCTCAAATTATATTAAAATGTAAAGTAGATACTTAATCTCCACTCTCCAGGCATCAGATTTACCAGAGGAATTGTCACTTTTATTTTTATTTTTTTTAATTTATTTGTGTGTGTGTGTGTGTGTGTGTGTGTGTGTGTGTGTGTGTGTCCAGCTCACCCCACCAGGGGGAGGGACTGGCTGGCATATGGTGCTGGGGGATTGAACCGCGGTCCCTCTGCTTTGCTGAGCTTGTTCTAAGTAAGTGCTTTAGACCACTGAGCCATCTCACCAGCCCAAAGAATGGTTTTTTTGTTTGTTTGTTTTTGTTTTTTTGGCGGAACCAGGGATTGAACTCAGGACCTTGCGCTTGCCAGGGAAGCACTTATTCCACTGAGCCATCTAACCGGCCCCAAATTGTCATTTTTAAATCTTTACTAAATTGTGATTTTCAGTCATCTTTTTCTCCTATGTTTAAGATTCAAATCTTATTTAATCAAAGACGGTACATGACTAGAAATTTATAGATTTCTATATCAATTCTGAAATTAGTGTCTCATGATTTTTATTACTAAAAGTTTACAGTAAATTTTCATAATTAGCAGAACAAATTTTCCTTCATTCTTTGTCAAACTGTCTTGTGTATTCTGTTTATTTCTTTACAAATCATAGCAAATATCTTGAAAGGGCACTCTGCTTGAATATTGTTATTTTTCTGCACCAGATAAATGTGAATTAAAGGAGAGTGGGCTGCCCTTTACTAAACTGTAGACAACCTTAGAATTTTTCTCTTCAAATAAAGAAACTACTATGAATGTATAAGTGCAGTCAAGTACAGTTAATTGAGTCTCCCAAAAAATGGCAGCATTTTTTTTCTGGAAAGTAATAGATCATAGCTCAAGATCTCTTACCTGCAACTTAATTTGAACTGCTTAATAATGTTGCTGATTTTCTCAAATCTATGGGCATCACGCTGTTCTTTACACTGATAATGAGAAATCACCTGTGAAAAAAAGAATATTATCCTATGAATGTGTGCCAACTACTAATATTATTTTCTGCTGCTACACAAAAAAGATATCTGCTATTTTCTTGGTCATGTACATTTTCTAGGTAGACTTGTCACATAGCTTACTTTCTCTTTACTTTTGTAAATATAATTATCCACACTGTATGTGATTTCAACACCTATTTGAATGACCCATGCAAGAAGAGCATGGAGCAGAGTACTTCAAGTCCTCTATGAAAACAAATTCCAGCCCAGACTACTATACCCTGCATAACTCTCTTACAAGTTTGATGGAGAAGTGAAATACCTCTGTAACAAAGAACAACTAAAGAATTTCATGATGACAAAGTCTAGCATACACAGACTACTAAAAGATGTTCTAGAAAGGGACCAAAATGATCAGAACTCCACAAACGAGAACAGAAGGAACCCACTAACTAGGGCAAACAATTATAAACACAGGAGAAAAAAGAATAAACATCAGCAGGTAAATAACATGTCAATCATAAATAAATACATATCAATCATAACCATCAATGTAAATGGACTCAATTCACCAATTAAGAGAAATAGATTGGCACAGTGGATTAGGAAACAAAATCCAACAATATGCTGCATAAAAGAAAGAAACATAACTCATACAGAAATTTGCAGGCTGAAAGTCCAAAATACTACATTTGCCTGCAACTCAGAAAAAAGCAGGAGTAGCAATCTTGCTCTCAGACAGTCTCAACTTGAAACCAAGATTGATCAAACAAAATAAAGAAGGACACCATATACTGTTTAGGGGAAAAATTCAAGAGGAAGAGGTAACACTCATAATTATGTATGCACCAATCATGGGAGCACCCAACTATATAAGACAAACCTTAATAAACATGAAAAATCTAGTATCCAATACCACAACCTTCACAGGAGACCTTAATGCCACCTTATCCCCAAAAGAGAGGTCAACCAGAATAAAAATTAGCAAAGAAATAGCAAAACTGAACCACAGCTTGGAGTAAATTGACTTACTGGACATATACAGAGTATTCCACCCAAGCACAACTGAATATACATTTTTCTCAGGTGTACATAGGTCATTTTCTAAAATACATCACACACTAGTCCATAGGTAATGCTTAAGTATATTCAAAAAAGAGAAATTAGGCCATGCATATTATCTGACCATAGTGCAATGAAGCTGGAAATAAATGACAAAAGAAACCAGAAAACCCCCATACATACATGGAAATACGACACCCTACTCAGCAACCAATGGGTCACACATGAACTTAAACAAGAAACTGAACAATATCTACAATGCAATGAAAAGTCAAGCACAACTTATCAGAATTTATGAGATGCAATGAAAGAAGTTCTAAAAGTGAAGTTTATAGCTATGAATTCAAACATTAGGAAAATAGAAGAGGAACAAATAAACACCCTAATGCTACATCTTCAACATCTAGAAAAGGAAGAGCAAACAAAATCCAAAGCCCAAAGACAGGAAGAAATCATAAAGATTAGAGCACAAATTAATTCTATCAAAAGGAAGAAATCAGTTCAGAGAATTGACAACTTAAAAAGCTGGTTCATTGAAAGATTAAATAAAATTGATAAGCCCCTAACTAAACTCATCAAAAAGAAAAAAAAAGTTCAAATACAAGCAATAAGGAATGAAAAGACTGCAATTACCACAGACCCAGTGGAAATTCAAAGATTATTAATAATTACTTTGAGAATCTTTACTCTCATAGAATAGAAGACATACATGAAATGCACAGATTCATATAAAGGTACATACTACCAAAACTGAATCAAGAAGATATAACAACTGTGAATAACCTAGTAACAGAAAATGAAATGCAAAGTGTAATAAGAAACCTACTGAAAAAGAAAAGTCTCAGCTGTAATGGATTCACAGTACAATTGTACAAGAAATTTATAGAAGATGTAGTCCCTATACTCCTCAAAATTTTCAATGAAATTGAAAAGGAAGCAATCCCCCCAAAATCACTCCTGGAGGCAACTATTATACTGATACCCAAACCAGGGAAAGACACAACTAAAAAAGAGAACTATAGGCCAATCTCCCTCATGAACATTGATGCAAAAATCCTCAATAAAATCCTAGCAAATAGAATACAGCAAATCATCAAGATGATTACACACCATGACCAGGTAGGATTCATCCCAGGGATGCAAGGATGGTTCAATATTCACAAATCTATAAATGTGATACACTATATTAATAGAGCCAAATCTAAAAACCACATGATCATCTCAATCAATGGAGAAAAGGTTTTTGACAAAGTCCAACACTCATTCATGTTCAAAGTCCTATAGAACATTCAAATAGATGGCCTCTACTTCAATCTGATAAAAGCCATCAATGACAACCCAATGGCTAACACAATTCTGAATGGGGAAAAACTGAAGTCTTTTACTCTTAGATCGGGTACAAGACAAGGATGTCCTCTATCACTCCTCCTATACAATATAGTTCTGGATTCATTAGCTACAGCCATTACAAAAGTAAGAGAAATAAAAGGAATTAGAATAGGTAAAGAAGAAGTTAAATTATCACTATGTGCAGATAAAATGATACTTTACATGGAAGTGCAAAAAAACTCCACCAAGAAGCTACTAGAATTGATACACAAATTCAGTAGCACAGCAGGATACACAGTCATACCCAAAAGTCAATAGCATTCCTCTACATAGATAACAAACACACTGAGAGGGAAATTAGAGAAACAATACCTTTTACAATAGTACCACAGAAAATGAAATTCCTTGGAGTTAATGTAACTAAGTCAAAGATCTTTTAAAGGAAAACTACAGTACTCTGAAAAAAGAGATCGTAGAGGACTTCAGAAAATGGAAAGATAGTCCCTGCTCCTGGATAGGCCATACTTGCAAAATGGCTGTACCGATTTAATGCAATACCTATCTAACTACTGCCAACATACCTCCTAGACTTAGAGAAATCCTTCCTAAAATATATTTGGAACCAGGAAAGACCTAGAATAGCAAAGACAATCCTGGGCAACAAAGACAAGGCAGGAGGCATTACAATTCCTGACTTGAAATTATATGACAAGGCTACTGTGATAAAAGCAGCATGGTACTGGCAACAAAATGGAGCTGAGGATCAATGGAATAGATTAGAAGACCCACACGCCTCTACGAACACACTCAGCTACCTTATCTTCAACAAAGGCGCCAAACTTGCTCGCTGGAGAAAGAAAGCCACTTTAACAAATAGTGCTGGAAAAACTGGCTCTCTACATGCCAAAAACTAAAATATGACCTAGGTCTATCACCAAGCACAAAGCTGAATTCAAAAAGGATTAAAGATCTAAACAATAAACCACAAACGCTAAATCTCCTGGAACAGAAACTAGGATGAACTCTTGAAGACACAGGGTAGGCAGAGATTTCATGAAAATAAAAAATCAAATCCCATGGGTAATACTTGAAAGAATTAACAATTGGACCTGCTCTTATTGAGAAGATTTTGCACATCAAAAGAAATTACCAACAAAGTGAAAAGACAACCCACAAATTTCAAAAAACTCTTGACTAATAAGCACTCAGAGAAAGGTCTGCTCTCTAGAATTTATAAAGAACTAAAATACATGAGGGCCTGTAAATTTAAAGACCGAATGCAGAAATGGGCATCTGAGATGAACATACACTTCTCAGAGGACGAAATTAAAGAAGCAAATAAATATATGAAAAAATGTTCCACATCAATAGCCATCCATGAAATGCAAACTAAAACAACACTGAGATACCATCTCACCCCAGAAAGAATGGCTATCATAAACAAATGAATTAACAACAAATGTTGGAGAGGCTGTGGGGAAAAAGGAACCCTTCTCCACTGCTGGTGGGAATGTAGACTGGTGCAACCATTATGGAAATCAGTGTGGAGACTCCTTTAAAAACTAGGACTGGAAATCTCATTCAAACCCGCTATCACCCTAGTGGGAATTTCTCGGAGGAATTGAAAACATCCTATCATAGTGATATATATGTTCCTATGTTTATAGCAGCACAATTTGTAATAGCCAAATCTTGGAAACAACCAAGATGCCCATCACCTGAGGAATGGATGAAAAACATGTAGTGTTTTTATACAATGGTGTATTACTCAGGTATAAAGAATGATACACTTGAAGCCTTCATATTTAAGTGGATGCCACTTGATGATATACTCATAAGTGAAATAAACCAGACACACATGTGTAAATATTCTATAGTCTCCTTAGTATAAGAACTCAACAGGAGAAGTAAAAATAGGTATAACACAATTAAAAGGAAAGTGAGAACTTTAGGGTTAGACAATGAAGAGATGACAAGGAGAAAAGGTAGGAAACATGAGAGGGGCAAAGCCATACATTTATATGTACAAGATGGGTAAGGCAATGATAATGAGAATCTTTAGCAGGTTTCTGAAGCTAGCAGTTAATTGGTAGGATTCTCAACCTGATTAACTATATATACTGATACCTGAGAACTATGCAACTGCACTGAAGATAGCAATGTGTGATAGTAGGGTCATGCTTGGAATGCCTGTCATGCTGGACTTCTAAATGCATACTGCTTGCCATGACACACCAATTACTGCCATACTTTCTCTCAAGTAAATGTTTGTTTAAAAAAAATAAAAGGGTAATAAGTGAAAACAAGAGACAAGAAAAATATGTCACAGGACTGTCCTGGTACAATGCTGTATATGGTGAGATTTCTAAACTTCTGTGTAAAAATATGCAATTGTTTATTCTTACTTTTTAAATATTTTTTTTTATTTTTTCTTCATATTCTGTAGGGATTTAAAAGTTAATATATCCATACTTGATGGAAAATACCTGTTCCATGTTATGCCTAAGATGTTTGATATTCAGACAGATAGTGAGGTTAAGCTCAATTGCCTATGTCGTAGGGTAATAACAATAAGCTTGTCTTCTGGAGGGTTAACAACCTAAGTTTGCAGACCAAAATTTAGAGAAAAATGAGGGCTGCAAGGACAGCCAACATTTTAGCCCTAGTCTTTCAAGGTCAATGAAGACTCAGGACATAGGAGAACATGTACTGTAACATCATGTAACTCAGTTGTGTCCCAAATTTAATCAAGGAGATTATGGGGCCAAAGAGGAAAGTGATTGAAGATATACAATGTGCCTAAGGAGAGTCACATGGAGAGAAAACATTCCCCCAGGCTTTCACAGAGAGCACATTGGCCAAGCAATGGCCGTGGCTCTTCCACATGGTTGACACTGACAAAGGAACTACAAACTGCGGAACAGTGTTTCAGGATAAATCTTGAGGGGATTTGACTGGCCAACCTCATCAGATACAAAAGCTACAGTTCTTGTTATATATGTCTTGCTTTATCTTAGTCTTGAACATCCATCAAAAAAGTATAAAAATGAAGTATAAAAAGTAAAGCCATATTAATATGCTGAGCTGTAAAAGGTTCAAGTCGACAACTTCTGACATTGCCAGTCTTAAGACAAACCAACTACTATTATGAACTACTGGACTATTTTGGAATATTTTCCTGAATTCAAGCACCTATAATATTTAAATGACAATGGAATACCCTTCTCTGACAAAACTAAACAAAAATAGATAATACAAATGAACAACCATTTTGTATCTGCATATTGAAAATAGTTAGGATAGATATACAGCTACATTCTCTTAATTCAATGAATAGAAAGATTTGTTTTAATAGTGTTTGTGGACACGATATCATGTCTACATCTTGTACAATGTATAACCCCTAAGACAACAACATGCAATGTATTAACTATTGAAACGGTCCTACTAATCAGTTTTGAAACTGTCTCATTGCTGTTTCTCAATAAAATTATTAAAAAAATTAAAGGTAAAGTATGATAAAAACACCATATATTAATGTAAATTTTAAGAAATAAAATTTATAAATTCTTAAGATTGTGGAGCTCAAATTTGTATTGCTCATTTATAATACACCAAGCAGTAAATAAAAAAAAAAAACTCACCAGAAAAAGTCACAGAGAAAATGTGATATATTGAAAATTCAATTCACATACCAAAGACAAAAGAAATCTACCTTGCTCGATTTAAGCCCCTCACTAAAACTGTCAATCACACTTACACTTGGTCTTCAAGTGGAACAAAATCTACCTGTTACTATTAATGAGGAGTAAAACCTTGTATCAGGTTATTTTCCATAATCATGTGTGCCAGATGTGGCAGAGAAATGCTGAAGTAAGATGTCTTGCCGTACACATTAACAACTTACTTACTTGCTGCTACTTACAATAGCAGAATAAAAGGGCTTACAGTACCAAATCCAAACAAGCAACCAGTATCAATGAGCTATGGCAGAAGATATTCTAATGAGGACTCCCTGATTCAGCTGTACCAGCTAGCAGAAAGCTACCTCCTTTACCAGTATAATTACAACTAATGTTTCCATAATGGGAGGCAGTAGAGCTGGGGAAACTGCAGTTTAGATTCTCTACTCTTTAATGCTACAGCCACAAAAAAAAACCTAATGCTCATTTGCTTGCCACCTACATGCCAAACCTTGTGCTACGTGCTTAATGTACCTTGTACCATTTTAGTCCACAGGTTCACCCTAATATAGATATTATTTTTCCATTTTATAGAAAAGGAGGCAAACTCAGAAATTAAGAAATCTGCCTAATATCATCAATAGAGCTAAAAATCAAATTCTATGGTTTGCTCTAAGAGTTATATTTATTAAGACAGGTAGCAATTCTTTTTGCAATGTGTTGATAGCTAAAACTAGTTGCTATTAAAGTTATTAGAACTTTTTTTGGTGATACCGTACTTTATTTAGAAAAAAATAAGCACCGCTGATTCTAAGATATTTTTTCTTTTCTTTCTTTCTTTTTTGCTTGTATTTTAGGAAAGGGTCTACAGGGTGTCCAGGGTCTCACTACTAGGTCGGACTCATAGTGATCCACCTGTTTACAGCCTCCCAAGAGCTGGGATTACAGGCACACACCACCATGCCCTGTCTCAATTGCTGTTTCAGTGTGCCCTGGGGGTGGAGCCAGACGGCGGGCCAGGGGATCAAATCCTGGCCCCTGCACTTGCTTGCAGGCATATTTTTTTTCTTTTAAATGGAACACTAGTTGGACATAAGGCTGTCCAGGATAGCAGATGTATTCATACACTGAGTAAGAAATAAATATATATTAATTGCAAAAAAAAACCTATCCATTTCTTCATTTTGCACTTCCACTGTTCATCTTCTATTTCAATTTTCTTTGTCATTTGTAAATCCTTTTTTTCCCCTGCTTTCAAATCCCCTTTTGGCTCTGCTGTTACTCACTGTATTTCTAATAGCTTTTCCCAGCTGGTATAATAAAAACATACTCACTAGGATCATGTGGAAGAATAGTTTCTGATTATTTCTTTTTCAGTTTCTGTACAACTTTTACTTGCTCCTTCTGTTTGTATCTTGCAACTATGATGGACGTTATGATCCACCAATGCAGTCTGGTGATTGGTAGTGAGGATTTTCATATAAAGTTGCTCCTTTAAAACTTCCCTGAAAAATATTTATCTGATTTTAAGATAAAACAAGTTCCTTTTTCTACAAGTTGAACATCTTCATCTAGGATCTAGAAGTTCCAAATCAATATCCTATTTTCCAAAATGGTGAAAGTAAATACATAGTCCACAAATGGCTTCCTTTTGGGATGATACTGTTGTATAATAAATATCTCAAGATTTCTTTTAACAAAGCATAATGTTCCAGTTCATCAAAAGCAGTGTCAAAAGAAAAATGTGGCCAAGAACCTTTTAGTTTCCAGCCATCTTTAATTCCTCTAAGGTATGAATATTTCGAACAAGAAATTTGGCAGAGGGCCCATGAGGTGAATTTGAAAGCCACATATATAGATCTTGTTTTTCTTAGCTTCAAAATACATGCATTTATTGCAGATTTTCACTTCACAGACCTCATTAATCAAAAATAATTTATCTTTACAATCCATTTTAGTATCCACCTTACAGTGAGACATCAAGGTTCTCAAGTCCTAAATTAAATAACTTGTTCTGAAATTTATTCCTCTGGAAGAAAAGATACAATTTTTCTACTTGCCCTTGCAAACAGGGCCTGAAATACAGTCTTCTTTCAACTTCCTCCTTCTCTTCTGCCACAGCCGATGACTTAACTGGAGGTCCCACATCTTTCTCGTTTCTCTTTGGCTTTTCCTGAACCAGCAAGTCCCGACACCGTTTCCTATTGGTTGCTGCATCTTGCCTCAGCACTTTCACTTTGGTTTGTTGTTGTTTTATATTAATTTTATTGAAAAAGAAGTAGCAATGAGCCAGTTTCAAAACAGGTTAGTACGACAGTTACAATAATTAATACATTGCATATTGTCTTCATAGTAGTTACTCATAGTAGAAGATGCCAACATGATATCTTGTCTATACACTATGAGTTCAAAACTTCTCACTGAACTAAGAGAAAGTACTATATATTTATCCTATTTTGTGTATATATGTATATTTTTTCATTACAAAATGGTACTTCATTTATATCCCCCTTTTTTATTTACTTTTGTTAGAGATGGGTATTCCATTGCCATTCATATATTTTAGGTGCATGAATTCAGCAAAATAATCCAATATAATGTTAAAAAAATCCAATATAGTCCAGTAGTCTATAATAGTAGTGGGTTATCTGCATGACTGACAATGTCAGAAGTTGTTGACTTGAAGCATCTTCACTCTGGACTATCATTTTATTGTTTGATATAGGGTCTTGCTACACAATTCAGACTCACAGTAATCCTCCTGTCTCAGTCTTTCCAGTGATGGGATGACAGGCGTGCACCACCACACATGGCTTCAGGGCTAGGATGGTGCACCCAGGACCTTGTGCTTACCAGGCAGGTACTTAGACCACTAAGATATCTCTCCAGACCTAAAGTCATGTTTAAAATACATGCAATAGTAGAATTTGTATCTCCTACTTAGAGTTGTACAAAAAGTAGAGTCTTTGTTGAATTTAACTTATGCAAAAAGTAAAAATAGTAACATGCCTGTTTCCTCCTTCAATTCTCCACCTAAACTCTTAGTTACAACACTGAGTTGGCCACTACATCTCTAACCATGTTAAAAGTTTTAAATTCAGTCTTCTGGAGAAATAGATAGTATGAGTATTTTCTTAAAGTGAAAATACCCTAAATTTCATAATAATAATGAACAAGAAAAAAATAATAATGAACAAGAAAATGTCTTTTATCACAAATGAGCAGTTGCTAGAAGAAGTAATCTAAACTGTCTAAGGCATACCTAATATCTAACTTTGACTACTAAAGGGCCCACCAAAATTCTTCTTTCAGATCATTTTTGACAATACTACTTTAAAGTAATAGTATGCATGCTAAAGTATTGGCAAATGTGAAATTTCCTGAAACTGGCAATGTGTTGTTCTCTGTTGCTGAATAAAAGGAAGTACAGTGTGAGGTGTATCTGTAGAGCAGAAAGTTCTTACTAAAAAAGTAGCTCTCTCAAACAGAAGTACTTCATCAGCTTCAATAATTTCAGCAAAATTTCTTAGGTTCATTTCCAGTTGCTGAACATTGGGAATCAGCTGATACACAATACTGGACCAAGCCTAAAAGGACAGAAGCATAGTATAATATTACTAATAGGTATGGAAGCCCTGGTCTTTGAAATGAGTATATATATTTTAATATAAAAAACAAAATAAGATATTTGAGACCCAAACAAATACTGACATTAAATATAACACATATGAATTGAATAAACAAAATATTTGAGTCCCTTGAGTCCAATTTTTAAAGTTTGTAGGTTTTTATGAAATGCTAAAGAAATTTCTGTCCACTAATAACTGAAAGTAAACAAGTCATTTAATGCCATCATGTTGCCTTAGAATAAAAGGTTGCAAAATGTGATCTATTGCCAAGAAAATTTCTAATCTACACGTTCAACTATTTAATTCAAGCAGTAAACATCCAAGAATCAATTTTGTGAAAATAGTGGGGCAAAATGGAAAAATGGTCCTTCCCCTCAATGGTAGAATACATCATTACAAGAAAAGCAAATGGCATTATCATTCCCAAAGGCTTGTTGTCATTTGTAAAAATTATTGATCCAACTGAACTTTCAAAGGTCCACTATGCTTGCCTAAAACTAACTTCATCTTATGTTATGACTAACATAAGCAACTAAAATTAGCCACACCCTCCCTCTATTCTCGTAAGGCTCTTCTATTTGTATTTCCAGTATACTTCCTTCACTCTCATGCCAGTTTTTCTGGTTAGGTGTACTGTGTTCTTCTTTCCCATACTAAAGGGAAGGAGCCTGATCTTATTTGAGTATGCAATAGTATCAAACAGATAGGCAAACTTAATATAAAAATTCAAGTCAGTTCTATGCAACATTGATTTAAGAGATAGTAGTGTCATGTCTCTGTTTCAATTTTTTATCACTTAGGCACAGGAGTTCAGGTTCCAGGCTCCCAGGTCGGTGTTAATGTCACTGCTGAATTTACCTTGGAGAAGGCACCAAAGCTAACCACAGCAGAGACATTTTCACTCACAGCAGTGTTGTGATTAGCCAATTGTCTTTGGTCGTGTTATGTATTGCCATCCTTCACACCGCAGTTGGCTCTTATCAGTGCGTCATGTCCATCCTTATTCACGGTTACCTGTTCTATGGGAATAAGGCTTTGAGAGAAATTCAGCCCATATTAATCTAGAACAGTACTTCCTAGACAGGTATCTCAAAATGATGTTATAAGAATGAGGCTGGGTCAACATACTATTGGGAAAAATTTAATTAGTTTCTGTCTTTAAATGCAATGGCTATTTTTTGAAGTCCAGTGTTTTTTCTCCTTGGCAAGTGAGGCTTCTGTACTTCTGGTTGTAGATACTTGTCAGATGCAGTTGATACTGAGGCTTTAGCCACCAGTGACAGACAAGGTCCTTTGCCACCTAGAATCAGACTTCTCAATAGGTACCAGACAGAAGCAGTCTGAAGGAAGGTTCTGACCACGGGAAGACACAAAATGAGCCAGTCCTTAAATCATTACATCAGTAGGAAAAAGGAAAGAAGCAGGAGCCTATGTGCCAATAAGTTAATTTCAGCTTCATCCGTACAAAAGTACTGTTATAATCTCTACAGTTACTGTAAGTAGTGTGACATCTATCCTAGCCATGGGAACAATCCTTCTGGTTGAAAGAATGCTGGTCTCCAGTTTGGCATGAAAGTTGAAGCTGCTATCTTCCAGGCATAACATGTCTCATTGCAAGACTTTCCAACCTCTCCACTAGATATTTTCTATTACTATTCAAATTTAAAGTAGATTAGCTGAAACCACTATCATGTAGCAGCAACTGAGCACTAGACACAAGTTCAATCAGCAATGATACCACAATAAGTCAGAATGGATGATGGCCAGTTGAACTTCTGGTATCAAGATCAGTATTAATCATAGCCAAACTAGCTAATTTAATGTTATTTGGTAATAATGTCAACCCAATTTAATATCAAAACTAAAATCTCTTAATGTTATGTTTGACATTCAAGTAATTTGTTGGAGATTGTTCCTTTTTTAAGAACAATAAATCTAGCTTGATGTTCTTCAAGCACTATTATTTCTTTCTGTTTTAGTATAACAAATCTAGATGGCTAGGAAATGGCTTAAAATCTTTTGGCTTTGTTAATACTCTTCTCTTTTTCATGATCTTAAAATGGCAAAGCTCAGAAATGTACACACCTTATAAAGAGTTTCATCCCAAATAGATGTTCGGAAACAAGAACATTCCAATGGGCGAGACAAGCGTCTCAGATCTTCTTCCCGCTCCTTAAAAATCTGAATTAAAAAGTTCAACATACTGATCAGCATATAACAGTTCTCTTTCACAGGAAAATCTAATCTGTAACTATTTTAGCACATTTTCATCAGGAGTTCCTTATTAAGAGGTATTTTGCATATATACTATTTCACAAAGTAGGATGCCAGAAATTATTTCAGGTCAGGTCAAAATGTCAATGTCTACTAGAATTCTTCAGGCTTATGCTGCTTGTGTGCTTGCTACATACTTACAGAGAACAATATGTTAGAAAATAAAATTTGTCATACAGAAGGGAATTAACACATTTCCAACACCTCAAATCAACAAATTTGGCTCATTTTAAGACGGTTATATCTACATCAAGATTTTGTAACTGAAAACACTTTTAACCTAATTATGTATATTTCTCTCATATACTTGTACATATACATTCATGTATATTATTAACAAATGTGCTGTACTTATTTCACTGTCTAGATATAACCCTCCACATATACAAAAGTTCCACCTACTTTGGATGTTTCTATGTATATATGCCAACATAAACAAGGAAAATATCTGCATAGAAATATACATGCACAGATATTTTTCCATGAGTGGGTGGAGTAGCTGCATGTGTGGACACACTATGATGGTAATTTTATGTGTTAACTTAGCTAGACCACAGTCTCCAGATATTTGGCCAACACCAATCTGGATATTAATGTGAAAATATCTTCGCAATAGATCAACATTTAAGTAAGTAGATTTTGAGGGCTGGGGAAGACAGCTCAGTGGTATAAGCAAAGGACCTGGGTTTGATCTCTAGTACCACATTCCATGCTGGCCCCGGAAGCCCAGGTACATGACACCAGCCACTGAAACTGGGTATGGTGGTGCACACCTGTAATCCCAGCACTGGGGAGGCTGAGACAGGATGATCACTATAAGTCTGAGCTGTGTAGCAAGACCCTGCACCAAATAAATAAATAAATTTTTTACAAAAGCAGATTTTGAGTAGATTCACCTTAATAATGAGGGTGGGCCTCATTAGATCAGTTGAAGATCTTAAGAGAAAAAGACAAGTATGGTGAAGTGAAACAAATTCTACCTCCAGATTGCCTTCTGACCACAACTGCAACATCAGTTTTTCAATGGCTCTCTAGTGTGCCTGTCCAAGGTTTCAGAATTGCCAATTTTCATAATAAGTTAAGTGCAATTCCGTAAACCAACTTCTCCCCCTTCTCAGTTTCTATATCTTCATGCCAGATTAAAAGACCTAGAACTACCTGAATGAAAGGAAGGCCAAGTCCACTTAAGAATTACACACCAAAATTTATACCATTAATTTTCCTGCTTTCCCCAAATTGAGGTACAGCCGTTTACCAGGGCAACCACACATTGGGGAAAAGGAAAAGCTCCAGATCTTTTAGGCACTATTGGGCTCTGAAGTGACACCAATTCCAGAGGACCCAAAATGTTGCCCTGATTCACCAGCCAGGACTTATGAACGTCAAGTGGTCAATGGAGTTTTATCTACACCCTATATTGTAGATATTTTCCAAAGTCTAGAATGCTAGTTGGAATAGACCCACTGAGCAACTGCCAAAATTCTTAAACTAGCTCCTTGAAATGAAGAGTAAGGGGAAAAAAAGAGTAAGGGCTATTATGGGTAGGAAAAGCCAAATGAAAGTCACTGGGACTGACTCTACCTAGGAAAACAGAAAAGCAAAATCAATACTGAATTCCTGAAGGGATTTTAGAGACTAATGCCACCATTAATAACTTGAAAGATGCAGGATTAGTGACATCCACTACATCCTGATTAAACTTGCCTCCTCAACCTTTTTGCAAAAGGCAGATCCTCTTAGAGAGTGCATTATTGGATGTTCAATTAGGTGGTGATTATAATTACAGGCAAATGTGCTTTTACTGCTCAAGCAAACTAACACATCCCTGGTACCTACATTCAACTATTTGGTTTACAAATATATTTTCTTCCATACTTATCCATAAAACCCACCAGTTTACTTCTGGGTAGCAAAGCAAGAAATATACAATCATTAACCAATTTAAGAAGGATAACAACTCTACCCTTATGTCAAATCTCCTTTGTTGGGATTTTATTGTCTTTCATTTATGAGATATTATACTAGTCCATTACATTGATGACAATAGGCCAATAGGACCCAGTGAGCAAGAGATAGCTACTCTAGACTTACTGGAAAACAGGGCATTCTCTGTAAAATTTCCAGAAATTCAGTGGTTTGAGGCATGGTGAGATGTCTCTTCTACTGTGAAGGGTGAACTCTTGCATCTGGCCCATCCTACAACCATGAAGGAGGCACAATATCTAGCAGGCCTCTTTGGATTTTGGAGGTACCATATTCTTTTGAGTATTTTACTATAGAATATTTACTGAGTAATCCAGTAAGCTTCAAGTTTTGAGTTGGGCAGGGAATAGAAGAAGACTTTGTAACAAGTTCACATTGTGTAACTCCCTTCCTGTTGGCCTATATCATCCAAAAAATCTAATGATATCTGAAGTGTCAGTGGTAGATAGGGATGTTATTTAGACACTTTGGAAGACCTTCATAGTTGAACAATAATCCACTTCTTTAGGATATTGATTCAAAGCCCTACCACCTTCCTTCTGATAAATTCTTGCCCTGCTATTGTGTCATAGTACAGACACTTAACCATGGCCACCATAAGACCCAACATGCCCAACATGAACTGGGTGTTATTTAGCCTAATGCCATAAGGTGAGGTGTGCACAACTGTACTCCATCACCAAATTCAAGATATATACATGAGTTCAGGATAAAGATCATAAATGCACAAGTAAGTTGCATGTCAAAGTAGCCCAAATGCCCACGACCTCCACAACCACAGTGCCTTTTCTCCAAGCCTGTTCTATGACTTCATGAGGAGTTCTCTACAATCAGGTGACTGAGGAAAATAAGACCAGTACCTGGTTTAAGATATGGTTCTGCATGATATATATCCATGACCTAGATATGATGAGCTGCAGCACTACAGCCCATTTGGGGGGCATCCTTAAAAGAAAGTGATAAAGATGAAATCCTCTCAGTGAACAGAATTTCCAGCATCTGGTTGTTCACTTTGCTTGGGAGGAGAAATGGTCAGATAATCAATTATATACCAATTCATGAGATATAAGCATTTGCTGGATGAACAAGGACTTGAAAGGAACACAGAAAGTTAATGAAAAGGTCTATGGAAGAGGTATATTTATAGATCTCTTAATAGGAAAAATAAGGTTGAACAAGTTTCACATGAATGCCATCAAATAATGACCTCAGGAATGTTTTTACTAATCAAGTAGATAGAATGATCTGTTATGTGGATACCCAGGTAGCATGTATCCTTAGCTATTACACCAATTACCCAGTGGGTTCAGGAGCTAAGTGGACATCATGGAGACTTATTCAAAGGCATAGCAATGTGGCTTTTGACTTATCAAGGATGTTCTAGCTATGGCCATCAGTGAGTGAAAAATATACTAGCAAGAGATCATTACTAGGGTCATGAAATGTTGTTCACTGCAATATTCATGTGAAACTTGTTCAACCTTATTCTTCCACTTACCTGATGGTGGGCTGATTATACTGGTCTGCTTCCATCATGGAAGGGGTGGGAACAGATACATATTGTGGATATGGATTTCTCTACCCTGAATGTTTCTGTCAAAACTACCAACTATAAGAATGCCTCACAGCAAATAAAGTAAAGGGATGACCTCAGTCTCATGAAATTTACTCTTGCTCTGTTCCTTATCACTCTGAAGCAGCTGGTTTGGCAGAACAGTAAAGTGGCCTTTTGAAGGCTCTATTACAATGCCAGCTAAGTGGCAACAACTTGCAGACCTCAGGCAAGACTCTTTAGAAAGCTATATAGGCTTGAAATCAGTATTATATGGTGCTTTTTCTTCCACAGTGAGGATTCACAGATCTTGGATTTAAAGAAAGTGGCACCATTTATTCTTACCCTGAGTAATCAGCTAGTTGATTTGCTGTGAAGTGAGTTCCTTGAGGAGAGGCAATATTGTATGCAATCTCAATAAATAAGGCATTCTATAAACCCATAGCTGGTAGTTTTGGCAGAAGCATTACATTCAGATAAGCATTACATTCACAATGTGTCTGTTCCAGTAATAGAATGCTGCCTCTTCCATGAGGGAAACAGACTAATATATCAGTCATGGATTTACTAGAGAAACAGATATAACACAAGATGAACAAATGAATGAGAAATTACAAGATTGGCTTACAATGGTGAGCCACAGAGTCAGATGAGGAAGCATGTAGAGGGTGCTTGCACAATGGAGACTGAAGGATTCAGTCCAAGGTCTGGAATTCACTGCAATGTTCTATACAAGCATCAGGATGGCAGTGGGTCTGTGATGGAAGGCTATAGCAGGAAGCTGAAGGACCCAAGACAGAAGGTGAAGAACAAGCTCTACACTACAGGTCAGGAAACAACGTCAAAGCTGAAGACAAGGACTAGAACTCCTTTGAAGAATGGAACCCTCTATCCTTCCTCATTTCTTTTATACCCTCCAAGTGATGAGCCACCCTAGGTTGGTCCTCGACACCCTAGGGTAAAGAATTGCTGAGACAAAAGCTGCTAAACCTCTCAAGTTGACACAATTGATCAACCACTACAATCTACCCTTTGTCAATTTGAAAACTAGACATATTTCTTTAAACCAGTTTGTATGATTCTTAGGGTGATTCATTATAAAAGTCATAAAATGTGTCTTGTATTATATTGTTTCCCATGCAAAACCCCCAAACCACAACAAAACTAATACCAGGAGAGTGGGGTTATTACTGTGATGTTGCCTGGCCATGTGACTTACAAGCCTTTAGAGTTAATTGTAAGTTTTGTGAGATTACCAAAGAGGCAGCCCCTGTACGCTGTATACAAAAATGTAGACTCTGATTGGAGCCTGGAAAATCAGAGTACTGATGGAAATGCTGCCAGTTAAAAGGAAGCTCAGGAGGCTTCTATT